CGCGTTGGCCCGGGGAGGGGGTCTTCAGCAAGCTCTCCTTGTGCAGGGGTGCAAGGGACAACCCAGGGGACAGGAAAGCCCCGAAGTCCCAGGGCTTGGTATGCGCCGGAGATCAGGTCCCGGTCCGGGGGTGCGGGGGGTTTGGTGGTGTGCTGCCACGCTGCTGTCCGACCCTGTGTTTGCACCCTGCTCCCCAAAACTTCTGGGCAAGGAGCTCAGCTGTGCACCGGCAGGCTAGAGACTTGCGTTTCCTGAATGGGGCTGAAAATGCCTGGTTAAAGGGGGAAAATAATATCACTACCATTTACTTCCCTAAATTAAAAATGAATGTGGCTCTCTGCGGGATACAGTTCAGTGGGGGAAATCTCACGGGCCTCTTCATGAGATGATCAGAGCGAGCAGTCTCAATAGAGAAAGAAAGAACAGATTCTGCAAAGGACAAATGACGTTGGGACAAGCCTGCCTGCTCTCCACCCCGGTCACTGTTGCAAGAAGCTGCCTGCTTCTGTCAAAAGAAATAATGAACATCTTGCTTCTTAAAGTTTTGGGGTTTGTCTTGTTGTTTTTTGTTTTTTTTTTTTTTTTTTTTTTTTTTTCTTCCCTGCTATTTTTGTTCTGCTTCTGCAATTCCCTTTCCAAGAAGAGTAGTTAGATAAATGCCGCTTTGGAGCCTGTTCCTGTGAAGCCCCAAAGGCAGTCCAGACGTGGATGACACTTGGCAGTTGTCATGACCGTGCGTGTCGGTGTCCCCGGCGCGACGGCAGTCTGTGCAGGGGGAGGCAGTCGCTGCTGGAAGGAGAATGGTGGTGTTTGCTGCTGTATGAGGAGAAACCTCAATATTTTTATGGTTGCGTTGAAAGAAGGAAGTTAAATATGACCAGTGTTTTGATACTGGTTGAGAGATAAGAGCAGAGGACTGAAATTCAGAGCTCCTGGATTCTGTTCGTGGCTGTGGTACGTGTGGCTGAGGGAGGACGAGGGCTTTCCGACTCAACCATTGATTTGGGCTTTGCCATTGATTCTTCTCGTGTCTCTGGGCCACTTTAAGGTGGAATTGCCAGAAGTGGCTGTGGGTCTTGCGCTATTAGGTCTCCAGCTCATTTTCTCCAGAGGCCCCCAGTCCCCACAGAGCAGAAAATGGCAGCTTTGCTGTGCTGCTGGCTGGAGACATCCCCAATAGGGAGCATTAAAAAAGGGACCAAATAAAGCAATTTTGCTCTTAACTTACATGTGGCTAGAAAGGGTGCACAAATAAGTTGTGCAGCTTTCCACAGGAAGATGAAGTCTTAAGGCATTGGTCAAACTTGTTGCTGGTGTAATCCCTCCGAAGTCATAGGCTTAACGCCTGTAGCTAACTCGCTCCTTAGCACCGAGGTGCCTTCAAAGCCCTGCAGATAAGTGTGAAACACCATCATGACCAGAAGCTTTGAAGCTGCGGTGCAGGCAGGATCTGGGGAGTCCTGTGCTGATTAAAACTTCCTTTTATTTTTTTTATTTTTGTAATTGGGTTTTGTCAGGTGTGCGAGGAGCAGAAGTGTGAAGAAGAGGTCTTCCCCTTGGCCATGAATTACGTGGATCGCTACCTGTCGTCAGTCCCCACGCGGAAAAATCACTTGCAGCTTCTGGGAGCGGTCTGCATGCTCCTGGCTTCCAAACTGCGAGAAACCATGCCCCTGACCGTGGAGAAACTCTGCATTTACACAGACAACTCCATCACGCCTCAGCAGCTCCTGGTAACCACCCCTATCTCAAAGAGCCCTCTACCTCCTCCCCAGCTCTCTTATCTTCTGCATCCTGCTACTTGGCAGCATACCTGCCTCTGTGTCTCCTCCTGTTCTCTTCCTCCTATTTCTTCACCTTCCTCTTGCATTCCCCAGCCAACCTGCTCTCCCCCTTGCCCGGGTGGGTGTGAAGTCTTCTTGGTGGAGACCTTTCCATCCTCCCTGTTGTGGGAAGCAGAATTTGTCACCTCTAGGTTATAGAGAAAGTTCCTTGTGCCTGAAGTGCTCATTGCCAGCGCGGAGCTGCCACGCTGAGCTCGCTCCCAGGCACTGGTTTGCTCTCGAGTGACAGCTCTGGAGAACAAAGGCTCCTGTGTGCGCAGTGGCGCGGCACGAGGCGAGGGCTGTCGCTGGGGCGTGTGGCTATCGCTTGCCCCGGCTGCAAAGGGGCATGACGTTGGGTGATGTGTTTCCACACTGGTAGGAAAAATGAAGCTCAAAGCAGAGAGTTAACCAGCAGAACGGGTGGGAGCTTTTCTGACCTGGGGTCCAGCTGGCTGGGTTGTACCCTCGAGGCTGACAGTGCTGCCAAGGCAATGGAAATGAGTGGGACCTTGCTGCTGCCCAGGTCCTGCTCCGCGCCCTCGAGTTCAAGCAGGGCTACTTTGCCTGTCCCATCGTACACTCGGGGCAGAAGCTGTGTAGGCTTTGAAAGGCAAAGCATTTTCACGTCTGATAAAAGTTCAAAGATCCAAACCTCTTTGAGTTCAGCTTCACCAATGGGGGAGGAAATTGGAGAACCCCTTTTCTCGGGGGCCTTCCGTGCTGGTAGATCAGAGCCCTCGGGAGGAAACGGCCACCTCGCTTCGAGTAACAAACATCCCTGGAGACGGTTTGCCTACGAGAATTTCTCAGGGTTAGTCATCGCCTTATTTAATATCTGTTTTTTTGGGCTGGGGTGGGTGAGATGATCTGAGTGTGATTTACCCCCAGGGTGGGGAGTGAACCCACAAAACTTTCAGGTGTGAATCGAAAGGCAGTTCTGGTAACTGGGGAGCTGTAGTGTGAGCATAGTTTTTCCAAGTGCCAGTGGAGGCTGGGGAAAATCCCCTCACCTCCATACCTCTCTCCCTGTAGGCAGTTGTGGGTGGTTGTTGCCTTAAGTAGCACTCATGGAAGAAAATATGTGGATCGTTACCATGAATAGTGGTGAGGGATGGGAATGCACAGAGGAAACACGAGGGCTTGTTGCTTCTCTGGGTGCTGAGCTGTGGTGGTGCTGTGGCATCCTGCTGCGGGGGGCTGACACAAAATCTCTGTGTGCAGAGGCTTCCTCCTGCTTTGTCAGTAAAGCTTCATCCCCGAGAGCACCTTCCCATCCAGCAATGGATTCTGCGTGGGTATCTTCCCAGGAATGGGATCCATCACGTGAAGCAAATCCCAGCCTGTGATGGGAGCATTCCCGTAGGCCCTGTGATAATGAGGGGGTTAACATTTAGCTGGAAAAAAAAAAAAGGCAGGGGGAATGGGAGTTGGTTTGCATTCACTTTTCTGCTGGGCCAGCAAAAGTTGCCTCTGTTGCAGAGGCAACAAGCTGAGCAGAAGGCACCTAATAGTCATCTGGTAGGCAAGCAGGCTGCATTTAAAGCATGGACAGTGCTCTTCTGGAGCATGAAGCTGATCAAAACGCGTGTTGTGGGACAGTGTCAGAGACCTGTCCCTTCAGAGTGATGGATAAGCTCTCTGTCCAACAGGAATATGGCTTGCAGGAAGCTGGAGTTACTGCCATGCTTCACCTCTATCTCCCTCTCTGATCCAGACTTTACAGGAGTCCTGTCATCATCCCTGCAGACCAGGGGAGAGCGTCACGGCAAATTCTAGTGATTTCTACAGCGGGGACCTTGGGCTACAAGGAATTGGTCTTGGTGGGCACCTTGCGCATATTTCCCACAGATCCCAGTTGTCTTTCATTCTGATTTATTTGGTGATTTATTCTCGATGAGGACTTGCTTTTTTTTTTTTTTCAGTTGAATCTCGAGCCGTGTTTGTAGCAGGCTCTTTCCAAAGGAGAACAGTTAGGAGATGTGCAGGTGGGTAGTGGGCAGAGCATGTGCAACAACATCCCTGGAGCTTTCCTTCACTCAGATGCTAATGCCTC